TATTCAACCGTGGCCATTCAATCCGCCACCAGTCGAACCATGAACAGGGCTTTTTAACCTCTCAAAGCGAGCGGCCTGTCGTGTCCTCCAACAGATGTTTCACCAGTTCACTTCCTCTGGCGACGGCCAGTTGTACCGGTTCCAAAACAAACAACCGGCTTCTTTCCATCCCAATACTCTGGCATGCCATGGTCGACACAAAGGTTTACGCATTTGCATCAGCACTTTGCCCCCGGACCGCCCTCTGCTCAGGAGGTGTCGTCTCCAGCCCGACTCCGACTCGGCCGGCCTATTTGTTCAGTCGACCGCCCAAACAGCGGCTGAACTGTTTGAGGCGTCAAGTTGAAATGTGGAAAAAGCAAACAGCCGCCATACGGCAGCCAGATAAGATATCAATTGGATGCCCATGTTCATCTGCCCTCTTCTTCTTTCTCCACCTCTCCCCTGAAATCGCTACCAGCCAGAGAATCGCAAAAGCCCCAGAGACACACACCTCCTCCCTGGCCTAGGTAACATGCAGCAGCGGCTGATTTTACAAACCCCGCCAGTAGGTCAAGATGAGACTGGCCAGGACACTTCACGGTCATAAGGGAAGATGAGATCAAATGTCATTTCCTGTGACTAACTGTCTACAACCTCGCCAGTAGGTGGCTTATCTGCTTGTCTCTCGGGTTCATCGACTCATACCTTAGCCCATGCCGATCGTGAGCCTGCAACCGAACCGACTACCGATTGCTGTGCATGCTCAGCAGGGCCCAGTTCTCTTGGCATGGATACATTTTTCGACTTTCGATGCCCGAGAAGCCCACAGAACTCGGCCGACACACGGATTGGAACATAGGCACAATAATCATTCATCAAATGTGCTACAATCTCTACGAGGTTATCTAACCAAGTTATGGTGATCACCAGATAGCCAGCCATCTGCTCGTTTGTTCACTTGTCGCAAAAATAATAACTCATTCCCATATTGGAATGAGCCTAGTCTCTTGTCATTTTGTAAGCCCCACCTCATTTATCATGCCTATGGATTTACCCCACTTTCATTTACTTTGGAGGGGTGTGAAAAAGAGTCTCACAAGTCGATATCATCAGAGGATGGCAGATAACCCACGATCAGCGCGAAGGATGGTACAGCCCTTGAGTCAACCTCATTAGGTTCGCTTTACAGACCACGGCTTGGCAAATATGGCGAACAAGATGGACTGGCTTCAGATTTTGTCATAGTCCCAGTTCACTGTATGGAAGAAGTCTGATCTCGTTTCCACAACTGTGTCGTTTTGTCAGAGAGAATTTGTCTGAATTCCTCAAATGTAATAGACATGATAATTGCCAGCGTAAAACCGTGAAATGTGTACGTTCCCATTCGTTTTGCCGGCATTCTAGTTGGGATATCTGTGCGATACGGTCCTACAATAATAATTATCATCTCTACTATGACCGAGGATTTCGTACAAGGTGCATCTACCAAGGTTCACAGGACGACCAAATTACGAAAACGGAGTCAAATCACTGAAAAGCAGTGACTAGTTCTAAAGTCACACCATCTTGGTCTTGATATTTGCAAAGCTCTAGTCTGTTTGGCGAACCGAAGGAGGTTGACATGAAGGCTGTGCCAACCCTCTGATTGCGTCGGCTAAAGAAGCTCAAAGACGATTCTGGTTGCTCAACAAATTCACCCTGGAGACATAGAACACACTGCACACACGGCATATTACACGGGGGGTGGGTTACAGGGAAAATGTGAAGCTCAAGGTTAGCCAGGTCATTTGCACATTACATTTTTAATAGGATTGTCGACGACGCAAATTTATATTTGCTATTACAATGGACTACGTAACTTATATTCGGCTGGATTTTATTCAAGATATAATGATAGTTTCGAAACCTACATAAGTAATGCAGTTTATTGCAATAGCAAATACAATTTTTCCGTTTATCTGTCGGTTTTCCAGACTGT